GCGATGGCCTCCACCCTAGTAGTAGCGATGGCCTCCACCCTAGTAGTTGCGATGGCCTCCACCTAGTAGTAGCGATGGCCTCGACCCTAGCAGTATTTAATATGCTACTCCAATGTTGCCAAAAGAATCCCAAAGACATGCCAGTGTCCCTTTGAAGGTCGGTTAAGGTACAAGCACTGATCAGGTCCTACCCCGATGTGGCCAGGGCATGCTTCGGGACGAGTGGCTTTGGTGTGTGCGCTATCATCATGACTTCTCAGACTCCTGGCTTTGGTTCCTGACATTTTCATAGCATTACCAGGTTTCAGCATGTTTCATCTAATTTTTGCGGACCTTTCCAAAGCGAGTCATGTGTTCGGTAGAAAAGGATAAGTTAAGGCCAATGCAGCAGCTGGTTGGCCTCCGGTTGTCACCAAGGATGTGTATCACCTCTACTGCCTACGTCCAAGGCCTAGGTCTTGGGCAAAAATACTCTACTGCCTAGGTCTTGTGTACCCAACTGCTTGGTAGCCCAAGTGCTTGGCGATCGCATTATTCAAGTCTAGTTGTCCAGACTCTTGAGTTTGTGGAAAGCTCTCGGCCAGCCCCAGGTTGTAACTGTTGCTGAAGTCCTGCAGAATGCCTTCGGTTGGGAGCAACTTGCCTAACCAGTTCCAGGAATAACTAGTAGTTTGATGTAGTGTGCGGTTTCAGGACAGAGTTTCTTTGTTCTGTTCATCCCAGGCGTCCAGAAGGAGCAACTCTTTTGGGTATGCTGCTCTTGATTCCCTTCACCCTTATCAGGCGGGATCGGAATATTGTACTCCATCGTACCGAGTCGGTACAGTGCTTCTGTGATCATGTGGATGCCGAACTTGGAAGCATGCACCTTCCACACACTTCCACTGTTGCAGGGATCGGAACATTGGGTCTGCAGAAGCCTTGCAAACGTCTTCTAATCAGTAACGAATAGTACTGTAACTGAATTGGAACGAGAAAAGTTTGGACAGCTCGCACAAGGCCAAGGCGTATAAGTGAACACATGATGATAGATATGATAGCAGCAAACTGTTGAAAGGCATGTCCAATAAGAGGTTGTGCCGGCTAATAGCTGTATTATAGTTTACATATATATATATGTTATATGATCTTAAGACGACAGATTACATCCATAGCTTCGAGCTGAAAGCTGGCGTGGGAGGTCATTAAAGCGCATTGCGGTCCTCTCCACTGTGGCCACAGTCGTTGCTGGGAGAGAAATAGAGTCACCACAACATGCAAACGTCACCTGCACCCAGATTAGATCTTTCAAAAAAGAAAGTCAAAACAACAAAGGTAAGGGCCCTTAGGGGCGCAGCTCACCTTGTTTGACTTGCTGTCATTTTAGTTCCAAAAAATCCTTCGTGAAAGAGCACGTCACAAGATGAGGAGCTTGATAAACTCCATTGAAACTCGGGGTGAAGTGGTTGCCATGCCCAAGGCTTGTTTAATTGAGATGGTTGCCATAGCCGGACCATGCTATTGGGACTACTTCACAGGAAATACTTTAGTTGAGCGCAAAGGCAGCTTGGCAGCCTCACGTCGAACAATTTTCTGTCAAGTGTGCAGGTTTTTGTGTCCAGGTCTTTGTTCTTAGGTGTCAACCTGGGTGAGCCAGAGAATATGGTCTATTTTGACCTCACATTCCCAAAGCTTATTCAGGCACGGCTTTTGCTCGTTCAGATGTCAAGCAGTTCACCTTGACACTCTCTTTTCAAAACACGGTTGACATTGGTTCTTTAGGGTGTATTGTACTACTTAAAAATACAGGTAGATACAGCAGAATGAATTAGAGACCATGTTCCAGGTAGCAGCACCCCATGCACTCGAAGGAATTGTCTTTGCACCTGCCAGGTGCAAGAACAGAATAGTGGATCACTGGTTTGGCATAGTTTTGCTGCTTGACAGGTGACCCCAATCATTTTGCTGGCATATGCCACGCAATCATCCGCACCAATTATATTGGTGACTCTGCTGATTCTGCTGCACATGACACATCCAGCGACTGCAGGGTCGAATCCTGACCGAGAAGGAAAGAGGTGTCAGTTGTTGCTATCTCTGAAACGAGTGACATGAGTGCTCGTGTGTTCATATCTTTTTAGATGCAGGACTCATCCAATCCAATAATGTTCGATCTTATTTAGTAAGCGGGCCCCCCTAGCAAACAATCCAGGGAGTCTGAAGAGCAACCCCGCCACCCAAAAGAAGTAGTAGTAGTCGTCGTCGTCGTCGTCGTCGT